CGAGCAGCCCTACTATAAGTGCCATAATCCTGAGAATAAGGGGAGTGAAAGCAAAAACCGCCAACGGTTCAAACCGTTATAAGTCATGAATGTAGAACAGGTTTTACCATTCAGGCCTCATTAGAATTAGAATATTTCTCCATTTTAACCAAGCCGAGAGCACTCCAGATATCCAATACTTAAGGTCTGACAAATGTCCCAAAAGAAACAACATTGTTGTTTTTTAACAACAGTATTATAATTTCTTATACATGAGCTTCTGAATATAGACCTCCACCCTAACAGCGACTGAAAATGGAGCAGATGGTGAAATATTAAGTTCATTTAGTGTTTTTTTCTAGACTTTCTGAGGCCAGATGGATTGGGAGTGACACTTTCTCATTTCCAACAGGTGTGGGAAAGAAATGTACAAATACTTGTTTGTCATATTATATGATATTTTGAGCTGCTCTGATATAGGCAGAGGATGGGGACTAATCCAGATTTTTTAAAAGGTAAAATGTGGCAAGGAAGGTGTAATAAAATATGACAATATGCGAGGGATCACTGCTTCCAGAACAATAGCCCATTCTTGTTTGAATCAGTAAGTACTGGTACAGAAGAAAGCCCCAACTGAGGATCATAATAAGATCCATGATGACTCTTCATTCTTTAACACTGAGTGGATCATTCCTCCGGGCCTGATTTCCCAGCCCTTAAAGTCTTGTTCTTGTCGGTGGCACTGGTCCCAACTTGCTTGCAAATGTGTCAAAGGTTGGCACTGCAGCCCGAAACCCCCTGAGGGCAGAGGAAAACTCTTAGACTGCCGTAAATAAAACTCTGGTGGTCCTTCTACGCCTTCATTTCCAAAAGGTACCAAATTAAAAGACATAGAAACAGAGATTAAAGTACACCCCTCCCTCCAACCCCCCATGTTGTGCCCTACAATGATCTCATCCCTTACACAAAAGAGCCTGGAGGCTTGTTCCCCAGGGGTGAAAGCCTGCGAGTGTGTGTGCATGCACGAAGTCTGAGCATGTGTGTGTGTGTAATGCCGGACCGCGGACAGAGCTGTGTCTGTTTCCGTTGTTTCAGCAGCAAATCCCCTCACAGCTTTTGAAACAGAAGCTACGCTAGGCCTACTGACGATAAATGTCAAATGCAAGAATCTGCCAAGGAAAAGGGTGTTTTTTTTCAGCTATAATAACGGTCAATTGGGGAGGGAAAGATACAGTATATCTATGGTCAATTGCACATCTTCATTATGGGGATAATCGTAAAAATCCTATCAATTAGAGACTTGAAAGCGCTGTCTACATCACCATTAAAAAAGGTACTGGACAGAAATGTAGAGCCTGATTATCAGGTAAAAGAGAACCGACCAACACAAGGTTCCACGAATAAAAAAAATGTACGCACAGGGACCTTATGATTTGTGTTTGTTAGTTTGTTTTTCACTCAAAGTTAATTAATATGTTTATTTCGAAAATATGTTTACTATCTGTAATGCAAAATAGCCAGAAATCTCAAAACTGACCTAAGCCCTTGGTTTACAAAATGTAAGGTAAAGTGATTCCAGTCAAATGTTGTGACGTTTGAAAGTTTCTTTGCATATTTTGATGATGATCAGGCCTTTGCAGCTCCGCTGGCAGCCGCCGAGCAGCAGTGAGTGAGCTTCTGCAGCGTCTGTCTGCTCTAAGTGGTACTCTGTACGCTCTGGAGGATCTGAAGAGCAAAGTGGGCCTCGCAGCCACCTGTCATCACAGAGTGCTGTAGGTGGTGAAGGCCAGACCGAGAACAAGGTGCCAATGAGCTGACGAAACCTCCATTTACAAGGCGGCCATGACCGCAGAAAAAACTAACGCTTTGTGATTTTCCTGAGGTGCAGTTTGATGGGAGATGAGCTCAAATTGAAGCCAGTTGAGTCTGATTGAACTACAGTATGCGTGCGCTTGGCTGGCTATTAAACCAGTGAATACCTCACGCTGCTAATGAATCTTTACAGTGTGTTGTGATGAGACTAACAGCCTCGCTCAGTTTACGACACAGAAAATAGGTCCAAATGTTGACAAAAACAAGCTCCAGTGCGTCTGATTTGAGGCGAGGAATATATTTAACTGTTCAATATTTGCTGTTCAGAGTGTGTGAGAGGTGGAGCATTCACAGTCTATCTACTTATTGGCTCCAGATAAGCCTGTGTGATAATGGCATTATCATAGCCATATGCTAACAAGCTCTCTGTGCGCGGCCGGCACACAGACACACAGTGAACTCTGATCCTCGCTAACGTTTGTTTAACCTTGGCGGCTGCCCTCATTACTTCAAACACAGGCAATGCATAAAATCCAATTTGATTTGGGAAACCGACGATAGCAGAGAACACGCTTCTCAGAACAGGTACCCGACTGCCAAATCAAACAGATAAGAAATAATGTTTGTTGTTTTTTATACATGCTGTTTCATTATGTTCCTCTGGGCATGGGTCTTTCTCCTTGAATTCAGAATAATATGTTTTTTAGAAGCTGTAATGTGTAAATATTTGGTATTTTTATTTAATTGTCCAAACTGTCCTCTGCTTAGATTAAGAAAATAACTGTTAGTGAAGAAAATATAAATTATTCTGCTTGAATTCAGCATAATCTGTCTGCATTGTTATTGAACTATTGTCCTGATAAACATGAACAAATACACAGCTGCAACAAGTGTTTATACTGTGAACATAATCTATTGCTTAATCGATAATAACACATACCTCAAATTGCGTAATAAGCCAGTCAAAAACAAACATTTCGCTTTTTAGAAGCTTTAACCAGCCAATGTTTGGTAATTTAACTCATCATTTTGAAAGCTGTCCTCCATTAAGAATGTCTTATTTTCACAAGAAATGTGTGTCACATCTGTGATGCCATGAAAATATTTGTTAACCAACAACATGTAAAGTAAAGTATGTTTTATAGGGGTGTAACGGTACACGTGTTATTTCAGTTCATCGAAATGCTGCACCTTAATGTTTATTTTATTATATTTTGTATTTATTTGCGTGAATACATTATTCACAGTTTAATAATAATTAAAAAAAATATATATATATTTTATGTTTTGTGATAATTTTTTCTGCTGTACCGAAAACGTACCGAACCATGACCTAAAAACCGAGGTACGTACTGAACTGGCATTTTTGGTCTATAAAAAGTGGTGCAGGTCAGACGATGGAAGCAGCGAGGCTCGGCTCAGCGAAACATCACAAGACTGCCTCCCTCCTGGAGCGTGACACCCGGCGGACAGAGAGCATTCCTTCCACTCTGAGGAGGGAGAGAGGGCTAACTGCCAGCCCTTATAACTAGCTGGGCCTAAAAATCCTTTGAAGTACAAATGTCAAATCACAATCTTTACTCTACGGACATTTTCCAATTTGCTATTTCTCCCAGGTTGTCTGTGTTTTCAATTCCACGTGTTATTGTTGAGACTCTCTCTTATTTGCCAGGTTTCCATCTTGAAATAGCTCAATGAGCCTGTTAAACAAAGCCTAAATGAAAATATGACCACAGCTCAGATCGGGGCCTGTTGAAAGAAGACGACTAACTGGCACATCACCAGAGTGCAAGGGTCGGATAGAGGATGTAGTTACCTGATTTCTGGCTGACCGACAAGATCTTTGTTCCTGCTCTTTGGATTGAAACCACTGTGTGTGTTAATATGTATTAAGAAATGCAAACAGGCAGCTTAACAAAATGCACTCAAGTGTTTCAGGTAAGTTCAGCAAGCCTAAAGACAGGCTGTAATCAGTAGTCTGTGTGGTATAAATAATGTTGTTTTTCTGGCTAATTAAATAGAAAGAAAAGGCAATTAAAACCATTTGTTATAGCATGGTAATGGTGGGAAAGAATCTCACCAAAGTGAAAATGATTCCATGCCAGCTATGGGGAAGTTGGAAGAGTGTTTTAGTAAACCCTGAAAACAGGTCCTATAGACCCAAACAGAACACAAAGGTTAAAGGTAAGCATATAATGTTAAAATGTGCTAAATATATACACTGCAAAAAACAAAAACAAAAAGAGTAAAAGTAGCTCACGACATTTTATTTTTTGAAAGTAGCTCTCATCCTAAAAAAGGTTGGAGACCCCTGCATTAGAGCGTAACAACTGTAACTATAAGTATCTGAAATACATATGTACAATTAAACAAATACCAATAACTGTATTGCATTGCTTTCTTATGCGCAATTACTTCATACTGGCTTTGTCTTTTTCGTCCTGCATTTGTGCCCCCCTCAGAAAATAACTGGACTCAGCCTGGCCCCCTCAGTCAAATTGGTCTAGAACCGCCACTGGTCAGTCGCCTCAATTTACTCACGTTTTCCTGAAGATGTCCGTTATCCAAATTATTTTATTAAATATTTCATTTAATTTTTTAATAAGGATATCCATTAATTATGAATGTCTTTTTAATGGTACATCATATCTAAAATAGACACAAATCATTTTGACAAGTGGTAAGTTTTATTGTGAATGTGAAATGGTTTTACATCCGGTCTTATATTGTTGCCTTGATCAGTTATTGCTTTTGCTCTGGTTTCTCGGCTTTTGACGCCCCCTATCTTAAACTAAGGGAAGTTACACCAAGATTTTTTTAAAAGCAACAGGTGCGTCAAGAAAAGATTCATATTTGTGTTGCCCCAGTCTGACTGTTATTTTAGGTTTGATGAGAGTTATACATAACTAATTATCAATAAATACAATGCAAATGGACGTTCTGATGAAAATAGCTGGCGTCTTATATTCAATGCAAGACAAATGTAAAAACCTTATCCAATTCAGATATGTTCAAACAGTCAGCCACAAAAAGCAATATTTAGTTTTAGATTTATTTCCAACTGCTTAAACCAACATTACAAATTCTACACCTTTGATCAACCTGACTTACTGATTCCCTTCAATATTTGTGCACATAGAAACCATGTTAAAAGTGCAACGCAAATGTTAAAGGTGAGGGACACACTAACTTTTCATGAACACAAACAATATCTTTATCAATAGTTTAATGGACAAACAAACATATCTTGGAAATTACAAGTTGTTAATGTTTCTCTGGAGACAAACAATACTAAAAATAACCATGGATATTTACACACAAGAGAGCCATATTTTACAATTTTAGTTCATGTCTTACCTTAAAACACAGAAAAGTAATTTCATGGCAACTAAGTAGGTTACTTTACAGCTATTTAAAATTCACTTCATGTCATCCATCGGGGAGAAAGTGATCAGTTTTGGGAGGCTATGCGCCTGAATCTTTAATGGGGAAGGAGTCTTCAGAATGTCTAAATCCAGTGAGAAGACCTGTGCTGTGGCCTCCACTGAACTCACAGGTTCCATCAGCCAGTCTCTGTCCAAACCGGAAGCTGTGTGATCCGTCAGAAGACACTCTGCTGTCCTCTGACTGCTTATATAGGAGCCATCGCTGCACGCCTGCTGGATCCGGCCCAGAGGATGTGTGGTGAGGGGAGTTTGCTTCTCCTCCGTCTTCAGGAAGGGAATCAGCAGCTCCTCATCATCATCATCATCATCCTCCTCACTCGTCATATCCACCGCTTCATCGTCGAGGCTCAGCAGGCTATCGTAGCTCGGCATTTCTGGGAGCGTTTCCTGATCGAGGCTGAACTGGACTGCGCTGCTGCCCGTGCCGCTCAGGCTGTCCAGGGCCTCGGTGTCCCACAGCAGGGAAGATTTGAGCGAGACTCCCTTCTGGCTCTGCACTTCAATGTTCTCGTTGAGGGGTGTGAGCAAACATTTAATGCTGTCGTTAAACTCTGTTATCCGCTCCATCTTCTCAGCTTTGTCCTCCTCAACTGCCTTACGCCAGGAGTTCTTCACGTCCAGAACTTTAAAACAAAAGAATACAATTAGAAAGATTTATCAAGGGAAAGGAAAGATTCACAAAACCATAAACCTCATGCCATTCTAAATAAACCAATTACCTTTATATGGAGTTACACCAGTAAACAAAAACGTAGACAATAATGAAAAGATATTGCAAGTCATTGTAATAAAAATGACTTTGCATCTCAAAAATAACAGGAAACTTGATAACTAAAGCTTACATAGAGCCTTTGTCGTTTAAGGATGTTAAATCAATATTTCCATACTAAAAGTTGTACAGAGATTAAGAGTGTCTGCTCCGTATCTGTCCGTGGCGATTTCTCTCAGTTCGCCTCGGTCATCAGAGAGCATGGATGCTGTCGGGAGGACTAGTGTCGGGCAGAGCACGGTTCAGCACTGCCCAGGTATCTGCCTCCCTTCATGCTCATGCTTCATTATTCAAATTAGAACTGTCCAGATAAAGCTCGTATTGTCTTTAAAAGCAGCTTCTGTTTGGCACAGAATTCCCACTTTAAGGCTGAGGTGAAATGCAACAGGTCTTGGCTTACTCAGGCTCTCAGGTGTGCGTGGCAGCTGCTTTCTGGTGGAGAAGGGATCTCCATGAAGAGTGCCAACAAGGCCGTCCAAATCCAGACCTTGGACCCTGCCTGCTGTGGGACTGGTTGTAGCAACAGCATCTGCAAACTAAAACACTGACACGTCAGAACTGTTGATTTAAAAATCCCACCCTTGTGTGTTTCTTATCTGGTTATCGCCATCCCTCCACATGGCAGACTTACCAACGTAGCTTTTTTTTAAATCCATAAATATACCTGGTCAGCGAGGTTATCACACTCCATGTCTAAAATCTGAGTCTTGGTCCTGATGGGTGCTGCATTCTGAGGAACATGAGCAACCTTCCTCACACTGGCCTAAAAAAAAACAGAGCACAGCTTTGTTAAATATAGTGTTACAGAAGTAGGTATAAAACACCGTTCAAAAAAAAATGTGGAGCGACAATAAACAGGATGACATACAATAATAGCCTGAGGGGGTGGTACTGCTGGAGCTTTCCGGAGGGGGGACGGGGGGGTGTCAAAGAGCCAGTCCAGAGAAGTGTTTGCTTGTGACGGTGCTGCAGCGGTGACGACAGGACTGTCAAACCTCTCAGCTGGTAACGGTTGAGGGCTGTTTTAAAGACCAAAAGCTGAAGTTGAACAGAGATAAATGCACATTTTCTCCACAATGCTTTAAAGCCGTTAGAAAACAGTGTATGTGTTCCCTGTTCTAATCCAAAAGCAACCATCTTATTAAGTGTGTCTGAATGGATAAGTGCCGGTCCGGAGGTTAGGTTCTTATTTATATTAGTAGCATATTAGGGCTGTGTCAAATAGTTTTGAAGCATCATTTGTAATATGATCAACATTTATATATAATCATAGACATAAAGAGTGTCTGCTCCGTATCTGTCCGTGGCGATTTCTCTCAGTTCGCCTCGGTCATCAGAGAGCATGGATGCTGTTGGGAGGACTAGTGTCGGACAGAGCACTGCTCAGCACTGCCCAGGTATCTGCCTCCCTTCACACTCATGCTTCATTATTCTAATAAAAAAAGGCCACATTACCTCATCGGGTTAGAATAACTAGGGAGGAGGACTTCCTGTGGTTTTCTCTCTGCAGGTTTCTCTGGAATTTTAAGAAGTTTGATTAGAAACATGACAGACCTCAAATTAAAACATGGCTTACAATAATTTGATTGTTCTCACCAAGAAGCGATGCAGGGTACTGTGAGAAGACGCTACTTCTGTAGCTAGCGCCAGCGGCCGGTTCAAAAGACAGTGGAGCCATTGGTGAGAGGAAGCCAAGGGCCTAAGGGACAAATATTAAATTACAATAGGCAACCAGGGTGGACCCCATTTTGAAGTAACAAAACATGTTAGTACTGCAACAGGTTATCTTATACTGACAAGCCTATTATTTATGTTTCTTCTAAATAAATAACACTGACTAGCAATAAAGCTCAAAATGCCATAGGACCACTTACAGGATCTTCATTCAGAAAAGAGACAAGCGGCGTGTCTTTGAGCGTAGCCATCCATTTCCTGTCCCATGCAGCCTCCAACTCGCCGATGGCGCTCCTGACCTCAGGAATTTCTTCCTTGGAAATCCTCTGTCTGGGGGAAAAAAAGAATATAAGGTTAAACGAATGATACTCAACTTTCAGTAAGCCAACAAAAACTTTACAGAATGTTTCCCCCCCATGCTAACAAATGTTCAAATAACTATTTCAGTTTCCAAACCACCAGTAGCACAGGGCTTAAAGATGCATATATATATATATATATATATATATATATTTGAGCAAGAAAAATCCAACTATAAAATGGCTGATATTTTGGCTCCTCAGAAGTTGTGTTTCAGTGTGAGTTAAAGTGTACCTGATGAGGTGGAGGTTCTGCAGTGCACGGGCCATCTGCTGACATTTCACCTGCAGCTGCTGAGGACTGAGCTGAGGTTTGGGGGCCTCAGAGACCCGGCAGCGCTCTTCTCTCAGGAGCTGCAGCGCGTGGTTCGTCAGCTCAAACACACTCAGGAGGTTCAGCTGACCCGCCTCGTACACATTCCCTGAACTCAACTGTAAAACACACAGCGAGTATGAGACTCATCTGGAAGCATTTTCATCTTAAAATGTAAGCTAAATGTGATGTGAATTTCAAGGTGTGGGAATATAGAGTGCATTCAAACCAATCACTAGTGACTCAAAGCCTGTGTATAGTAATGAACAGGCCTTCATTCAGTAACACAGTTAACAGACTGATCTTCACTCACCTGATGAGGGAGCTGTTCAATTCTCTCCAGCAGACTGCGAGGAATCTGGAGGACCTGATCCGTCCCGTCCAGGATGTATTGATCTACATCTCCCTTTAAAACACTTTCCACCACGTTCTGCTCCTCTTTGGTGGTCGACAGCATTCCATCAATGTCCGACCACAAGGAGCGTACCTTTAGAAAAGAAAATGAAGTGCTCGTGTGAGCTTTTTATAGCCTTGTTTTGTAGGAAGTTCTACAAACATAACTTTACATACTTTTCTCGACTTCTCAGCAAGAGAGGCTCCCTCTTGTGCACAATCACCGCTGTGGCGCCTGAAAGAAGAAAGACAGATTAAACAAAGTGAAATAAAAACAATGAATTTGGAAGTACTGATGGAAAAAGTCAAACACACTTGAGTAGCTCATCATACTTGGCACCCTCTGCTCTGATGTCCCTCATAGACCTCACCAGGAGCCTTTAAAAGAAGGGAAAACACACAAAAAAAACTTTGAAAACAAGACATAAATACCAATAGTATAGTAGATCATCTCGCAACAGAACTTGCTATAAAATAAATTACTCTACAGAAAGTGCAAGCTTAAAAACACAAACCTCTGAAAACTTCAACATGTGCACATAGACATTTGCTGTCCATGAAACACGCAGGAGTGTCTATAGTTGGCTCACTGGGGCATTTAGGGAAACAGCAGTCGTTAACAACATTTGTTCCACCTGTGTTTTACTGCTTTGACCAATTAAAACGTCTGACTACGGACACCTCCAGCTTCTGCCAACTGGTCTCGTTAAAACTTGGCTTACAAATGAGGTCACAATTTACAGACGGGGCTTAAAAAAAATAGCCAATGAAACGACAGCAGTGACAAAAGATTCAAAAAGTAATATCTCATTGCAACGATAGTAACAGATAAGACTCACACCTAGGGATGGGTATCGTTAGGATTTTACCGGTACCGGTACTGCTTATCGGTATCGGTATTTTTCGATACTCTTATCGATACTTTTCAATAATTTGGTGCTCAAAATTATAGACATGAATACAAGATGTGAAAATTAAACAGTAATTGTATTGTAATTTTCTTGCAGAAATAACTGTAACTTATACATTAGCTTCTCAGAAGCAGACACAAATAAATAAAATAGCTTAAAGGGGCCTGGCTCGCCCTATCATGCTTTTTGGGGTTTTCCCTCAGACAGAGGATGAAAAGAGGCATTTTTTAAAACATTTTTTAACATTTGTAAATAATTTACATCTTCATCCTGACATTTCAAACTGACAACCTAGCCCGACAAGAGATCCTTAAAACATTGTCCTACAGTTACATCATGCAAAACTGTGAAGAAATTGGTCAAAAGGCTAAGATGGCAAAAAGATAAAGGCGAGTACGTATATTATTCTGGATTGTACTTTTAAATCATCACAAAATAAATGATGTGCTGAACTGAAACACAACAATTGCTGAACCATACATTGAAAGGTTGACCTTTAACAACATTTAAATGAAGTTTTCCAATTCACAATGACATCCGTAAGTTTAACTGGTTTATAAAGCATTCACTGAAAGGCCAAACTATTATAGGTGTAGGAGCTCACATTAATACACTGTCAGTGTTAATAAACTAAAAAAAGACAAGGCGATGTGCCTGCAAGACTGCACTCAGGTAATCAAAACATATTAACCGTGCGCAGCAGCTAACCTGCCTGCGAGCCTTCGCTCATTTACACACGGCGCGGCTGAAGGCCGCTAGCACTATTAGCACTAGCAGTATCGCTAGCACCGTTTTAGATTCAATGAGTGTCTCGTTTGCAAATGCTTCATTAAGTGCTTCATTAAGTTTCTTGTGGTTTACCCCTTTACAGCACTAATTGGAGTAAATAGATTTGCACCTTGCAACTATCGCCCACTACATTTTTTCAAGTGCATCCCAGACCTTCGATCGCTCTCGCTCTGTCCCGTGCCCCTCCGGGAGTTCTCCCACCCGCAATAATAGAAGCGCTGTTGGAAGAGATGGACCGAGTGGCATTTATAGTTGGCCCAATCAGAGGGGTCTCAACCGGAATATCATCACAACCGGGGATGAGGGGTCACCAACCAGAAGGTTTAAAGTGGAAACAAAGAAGTAGAACGTAACACATATACCGATAGCAGCACCCGTTTGTCCAGCGGCTTAACGGTATGCCGATACCCGTCCAATCCAGGTACCGGTATTGACTTAAGCTACACGGTTCTCGGTTACCCATCCCTAGCACACCACAATAAATTTAAACACAAGATACAAAAGTGTACGCAACAGCCCAAAAAGATGATACATTTATTTAAATAAAGTTCAAAACATGGTCAGTTAATTATCAAATGATTTTTTTTTTGGGAAAAAGGAAAACATTGTGTTACCCCCTTTACAAGCAACTAATTGAGTACATAGATTGCACCTTGCACTATCGCCACTACATTTTTCAAAAGTGCACCCAGACCTTCGATCGCTTCGCTCTGTCCGCGATGCCTATAAGAAATTGAGTTAATTAAGGGTGTTTTTAATTAATGGGCGGGCAATTGCGCTCTATTAAAAGTGTCGTGAATTATATATATATAATATATATATATATATATACGGTGTTCAACAAGATGACAGAAAAATAATATTTACATTTTTGTTAGTTTACAAGAAAAAGTGACACACATCCTCCTTTGAACGCTTTACGCCTAGGTTTCCACCACCGTAGGAAAAGGAGAGTGGGCCTCCGGGGTTCAAACACGGCGAACTACGAAAGTAAAACCGGTTAGTGCAGTACGACGTCTTTTACTTCTGTAATGTCGTCCATTCAGTTCAATTTTTTTTTTAGTATAAATAAAGAAAGTTATGGTGGGCCGACAAAGTAAAACATCAACGGCACGTCAACCGTGCATTTCCCTGATAGTATATTGGAACTAGAACACTAACAATCTACTGTCGACCCAAGGACTTCCGACGTCGGCGACGGCCGAGGAGGGACGCTGTACCGGCTTCTCCTACCTGGACTAAGTACCGGTCCAAAGACTTTTCGACGTCATCTAAGCCCTAGCAAAGGAAGTGCCCATTGGTCTCGGCTCGTTTTGGTCATTCAGGGTACCGTCGACTTCATGTTGTTGTAAACTGGTACAGAGTATGAAATGTGGGTCGTCGGAAGATGAAGGTGATGAGGGACATTTTTCGGATTAACTGTAAGTTGAAAAAACCGCGTCCAACGACAGTTTACCTTTAGGTCAGCCCCTTAGTGGTTTTTCATATATCATTCAGTTAATTCTACTGTCCAGTTAACTATGTTGCTCCCCTCGACAAAAGGAAAAAGGGTTTTTTTTTTAGTAAACTATTAATTGACTGGTACAAAACTTGAAATAAATTTATTTACATAGTAGAAAAACCCGACAACGCATGTGAAAACATAGAACACAAATTTAAATAACACCACACGATCCCTACCCATTGGCTCTTGGCACATCGAATTCAGTTATGGCCATGGACCTAACCTGCCCATAGCCGTATGGCAATTCGGCGACCTGTTTGCCCACGACGATAGCCATATACACAATGCAAGATGAAGAAACAAAGGTGAAATTTGGAAGACCAACCACTGGGGAGTAGGGGCCAACACTACTATAAGGCCAACTCTGGGGAGACTAACCCGGTTGATATTTACGGTGAGCCAGGTAGAGAAGGTTGTCGCGAAGATAATAACGCCCACCCTCTTGAGGGCCTCCCNAGTACCCTTTTTCCGGCAATTTTTAACCTCTTTCGGTTTGCACAAATAGGAAATACGGAATATATCGAGCGGTTAAAAACAGCAAGTTGCCTACATGTCAACATTGACATGTAGGCAACTTGCTGTTTTTAACCGCTCGATATATTCCGTATTTCCTATTTGTGCAAACCGAAAGAGGTTAAAAATTGCCGGAAAAAGGGTACTTCCTAATACTCCTTAAAAACTTTGCTGAGCACTTGGTCGCCACACTTTCATCTGAAGTTGTCGGCGGAGGCAGGCGCCATGTTTGTGTGTCTGACTGTTGTTGGTGGGAGCTTTCTTCCTAAACGTCTCTTTCACCAGGACCCGCCCCGAGCAGAGGAGAGGGGCTGCAAGCTACACGTATTGAACACGCATTTTCCGGTGTGCCTTTCAAAGTAAAACTCCTTAACGTCACCTACTGCAATGCAAAATATTTCACGTAAATGTATTCAGATAAAGTAAATGTGCTTGCTGCAAAACTCAACCAAAAGTGGTTTATATCATTCATAAATTCAAACACTTAAGTGTTTTTTATTGAAGTGCGATAGAGTATTATATTTGTAATAAACTGACAAAGGCTGACGGAATAGGCGGAACTAACGATATTTGTAATTCTAGTCGGACCCAAAGAGCACACTTTTATCTATTTCATGTTCTTAGAAATAAAGTAAGAAATCATTCCAATGTGTACTATAGGACACTAAAAAAAAAAACAGTTTAAAAGGGGAGTGATTATTAAAATATGCATAAATAAAAAGAAATAATGCTAACTATATTTAACATAAGATAACATTAAACAAGTTTAAATGATTTGTTATTGGTTGTGATCATATTCTAAAGATGTTTGGATCATTGAAAAGTATACAGCTCCCTTTCATATTGAGTGTTGAGAGCTGTATCCATAAATTCATGTTGTGCTCAAAGTGCACCAGATTGATGCATTTCACTTCAACATTTAAAAATAAATCTTCCCGGGGGAGCATGCCCCCAGAAATAGCTCAATGAGCCTGTTAAACAAAGCCTAAATGAAAATATGACCACAGCTCAGATCGGGGCCTGTTGAAAGAAGACGATCGGGGCCTGTTGAAAGAAGGACGACTAAACTGGCACATCACCAGAGTGCAAAGAGGGTCGGATAGAGGATGTAGTTACTGATTCTGGCTGACCGGACAAAGATCTTTGCCTGCATCTTTGGATTGAAACCCACTGTGTGTGTTATATGTATTAAGAAATGAAACAGGCAGGCGTTAAAACAAATGCACTCAAGTGTTTTCAGGTAATTCCAGCAAGCCTAAAGAAGGCTGTAAATAGTAGTCTGTGGTGTATAAAATAATGTTGTTTTTCTGGCTAATTAAATAGAAAGGAAAAAAGGCAATTAAAACCATTTTAATAGCTGGTAATGGTGGGAAATCCTCACCAAAGTGAAAAATTGATTTCCATGCCAAGCTATGGGGAAGGTTGGGAATGGTGTTTTAAGTAAACCTGAAACGACAGTCCTATAGACCCAACAGGAACACCAAGGTTAAAGGTAAGCATATAATGTCAAAATGTTGCTAATATTACACTGCAAAAAACAAAAAACAAAAAGAGTAAAATGTGCTCACACATTTTTATTTTTGAAAGAGCCTCTCATTCCTAAAAAAAGGGTTGGAGCCCCTGGCATTAGAGCGTAAACAACTGGTAACTATAAGTATCGAAAACCATATGTACAATTAAACAAATACCAATAACTGTATTGCCATTGCTTCTTATGCGGCAATACCTTCAATACTGGCTTTGCTTTTTCGTCACTGGCTTTGTTGCCCCCCCTCAGAAAAATAACTGGGACTCAGGCCTGGCCCCCTCAGTCAAATGGAGTCTATAGAACCGCCACTGTCAGTCGCCTCAATTTACTCCACGTTATTCCTTGGAAGGATTGTCCGTTATCCAAATTATTTTATTAAATATTTATTTAATTTTTTAAAAGATATCCATTAATATGAATGTCTTTTAATGGTTACATCATATGTAAAATTAGACACAAAATATTTTACAGTGGTAAGTTTATTTGTGAATGTGAAAATGGTTTTACCATCCGGTTCTTATATTGGTTTGGCCTTGATCATTATTGCTTTTTTGCTCTGGTTCTCGGCTTGTTGACGCCCCCCTACTTAACTAAGGGGGAAAGTATACACCAAGATTTTTTTAAAAAGCCAACAGGTGCGTCAATAAAAGATTTCATATTTGTGTTGCCCCAGTCTGGACTGTTATTTTAGGTTTGATGAAGAGTTAACATAACTAATTATCCAATACGTTACAATGCAATGGACGTTCTGATGAAAATAAGGGGCTGGCGCTTATATTCATTGCCAAGACCAAATGTAAAACCTTTATCACAATTCAGATAATGTTCAAACAGTCAGCCACAAAAAAGCAATATTTTAGTTTTAGATTTATTTCCAACTGCTTTAAACCAACATACAAATTTCTACACCTTTGATTCAAACCTCTGACTTACTGATTTCCCTTCCAATATTTGTGCACATAGAAACCATGTTAAAGTGCAACGCCAAATGTTTAAAAGGTGAGGACACCACTAACTTTCCATTGGAAACACAAACAATATCTTTATCCCAATAGTTTGAATGGACAAACCATATTTCTTGGAAATTACAAAGTTGTTTTTAATGGTTTCTCTGGAGACAACCAATACTAAAAATAACCATGGGATATTTACCACACAAGAGAGCCCATACTTTTTACCATTTTTAGTTCATTTCTAGCCCTTAAACAACAGAAAGTAATTTCATGGCAACTAAGTAGGGTTACTTACAGCTATTTAAAATCACTTCATTGTCATCCATCGGGGAGAAAGTGATCAGTTTTGGGAGGGGCTATTGCGCCTGAATCTTTAATGGGGAAGGAGTCTTCAGAATGTCTAAAATTCAGGTAGAGAAAGACCCCTGTTGCTGGTGGCCTCCCACTGAACTCACGTGTTCCATCGCCAGTCCTGGTCCAACCGGAAGCTGGTTGATCCGTCAGGAAACACTCTGCTTGGTCCTCTGACTGGCTGTATATAGGAGCCATCCGGCTTGCACGCCTGGCTGGATTCCGGCCAGAGGAGGTGTGGTTGAGGGAGTTTGCTTCTCCTCCGGTCTTCAGGAAAGGGGAATGCAGCAGCTTCCTCATCATCATCATCATCATCCCTCCTGTCACTCGGTTCATATCCCACGCTTCATCGTCGAAGGGCTCAAGCAGGGCTACTCGTAGCTCGGCCATTTCTGGGAGCGGTTTGCCTGATCGAGGGCTGAAATGGACTGCGCTTGCTTGCCCGTCCGCTCAGGGCTGTCCCAGGGCCCGGTGTCCCAAAGCAGGGAAGGATTGAGCAGACTCCCTTCCTGGCTCTGTCACTTTCAATGTTACTCGGTTGAGGGGTTGAGCAACATTTAATGCTGTCGTTAAACTCTGTTATCCGCTCCATCTTCTCAGCTTTGTCCTCCCTCAACTGGCCTTCGGCCAGGAATTCCTTCATGTCCGCAGACTTTAAAACAAGAAGTCAATTAGAAAGGATTTATCAAGGGAAAGGAAAGATTCACAAAACCATAACCTCATGCCATTCTAAAATAAACCAATGTACCTTTATATGGAGTTACACAGTAAGACAAAAACGTAGACCATAATGAAACAAGATATTGCAAGTCATTGTAATAAAAATAGACTTTGCAATATCTTTTCATTATTGTCTAGTTTGTTGTTTTA